TGGGAAAAGAGTAGATAGCAAACATTGCAGTAGAACAGATGATGGGAAGAATTGTTTGGAATATACAATTAGGCATTATATATATGACAATAATCTCTAAGAGGGTGGGTGGGAGCGGGGATGGGGAAGAAAATATGTAACAACCAAAAAAAGAGAAATAAAAATGATATCTTCTTTTTAAAGCTAGATATTACTAGGTATATATACTAAAGAACTAAGAGCTGGAACAGGAACAGATATATGCAAGTGTGTACCGTAACATTGTTCACAATGATAAAGAGATGAAAATTACCTCAGTGCCACAAAATGAAGGAATGGCTAAAGAAACAATGGTACAGTCACACAATGGAGTACAATGTTACACAGAAAACAAAACACAGAATCATGAAACATTGTACATAATGTGGATGAATCTAAAGGGTACTATGCTGAGCAAAATAAATCAGTCATATAAAGACAAACAATGTAGAAGATGACTATTGCAAAAAAATTAAAGACAGGTTTATATATGGATGGAATCATTTCAGTATGATTACCAGAGAGGGGAAGGGAGGGTAGAAAATGAATTAATAGAGAATACTCATTAATATCACATGTCAGCAAAATACTGCTGAAGATCATGAAAAAATAACTAGAGCAGTACATAGATATGGAACTGCCAGATGTTTAAGAAGTATTTAGAAGAGATCATGGCACCAGGATATCACTGCTGATGTCGGATGTATGCTAACTGAAAGTAAGGAATACTAGAAGAATGTCTATTTGTGATTTACTGACTGTGCAAAGGCTTTGAATGTGTGGATCATGACAAGTTGTGGATGAATGGGATTCCTAGAGTACTCATGTGCTCATGTGGAACCTATGCCTAGACTAGGAGGATGTTGTACAAATAGAGCAGGGAAACACAGCATGGTTTAAAATGAGAAGGGAGTATGTAAGTATGTGAGGGTTGTATTCACTCTCCAAACCTATTCAAGTTGTATGTTGAGCAAATTATCTGAGAAGCTCCATGAGGAGAATGTAGCATCAGGATTGGAGGGAGACTCATCAATAATGTGTTATGCAGATGACACAACCGTGCTTGCTTGCTGGAAGTGAGGAGGACTTGAAGCACGTGTTGCAGAGGATCAAGGAATGCAGTCTCCAGTATGAATTGCATCTCAATGTCAAGAAAATAAAGATTCTTACCACTGGACCAATAGACAGTGTTATAAAGAATGGAGAGAAGATTGAGACTTTCAACACCTTCATTTTGCTTGTATCAACAATTAACACTCTTGGAACCAGCAGTCAGGAAATAAGAAGCATTGCACTGGGAAAAATCTGCAGTTAGGAACCTTTCCAAAGTATTGAGGAGTAATGATGTCAGTCTGAGGACAAAAATGTGTCTGATTCAGGCCAGAGTCTTTCCGATTACTTGCTATGCATCTGAGAGCTGCACAATGAATTAAGAGTGACAGAAAAAGAATTGATGCCTTTGAGTTGTATTGGAGAATAGCACTGAACATCCTGTGAACAGCCAAGAGAACAGCTATGTCTTGGAGAGGGTGCAGCTGGAGTGCTCTTTGGAGGTAAGAATGATGAGGCTTCGCTTCACATACTTTGGACATGTTGCTAGGAGGGGCTAGTTCTCAGATTAGGACAGGATACTGTCAGGGTGGAGGCTCGGCAAAGGAGAGGAAGACCCTCAACTAGATGGATTGACACAGTGACTACTGCAGTGGGCTCTTGTGTGTTAGGAAGTATGAAGATGGTGCAGGATACAACAGGGTTCAGATCTTTTGGTCATAGGGTCGCTATGAGTCATACTCGACAGCATCTAACAACGATTTATTAAGTTAGGTGAAGGGAAAGACAATATGGAATGAATGGATGATCAAATACTGTGTATTGTAATTCAAAATGTTCATGAATGATACAGAAAACAATATGCTTTATAAACTTTCATTCAAACCACAAATTTTCTTAAGAAAAAAACTACCTTTGATAATGGAGTAAAATTTTTAGTTTTATAATGCCTTATGCCTTGAGAAAGAGAGAGAAGTGTGTATATGTGTATGTATATATTTTTGTATTTTATGTGGTTTTGAAATGGGTAAACCTTTTGCTGTCGAGTTGAGATAGAATCACAGGGACACTACAGGGCACAGAACAACTGCCCCATTAGGGTTCCACAGCTATAATTCTTATGGAAATAGACTGCAATACCCTTCTCCCCTGGGTTTGAACTGCCAACCTTTTATTTAGCAGCTTCTTAACCAAATAACCAAACATGATATCACAAAATCATGCAAGGGCACGAGATCCAAATGGTAAGACAGGCCAATGAGTTTGGGTTTATTTTTTAAACATATTATTATTATTATTAATTTTAATGAAAATTTACAGAGATTTTGAATTTCCATTCATTCATTGTTGCACCTTTCTCCCTGCCCACCCCTCTCCTTTAGTTCGTTCTTCTCTTTGAAAAGTAAAAGAAAAATTCTTTCATTGCTATACAATCCCTCCTCCCAAGTCTAATCCACTATGCAGCCTTTGTTCTGGACTCCTGTCATGACAATAATTTCTAATCATATATTCACACAATGGAATACTACACAGCATTGAAAAACAAGGAACTCATGAAATATTATTCAAAATGGGTAAAGCTGGAGGACATTATGCTGAGTGAAATATCTCATACACAAGAGGACAAATACTGCATAGTGCTACTGGACTGACATTGGGGTTGGGGGAGACTGAGAAAGATGGGATAAATTATGTACACTGCATTGAAGCACATGAGAGAGAGAACTGTCTAAAAGGCAAATGAGTTTTAAAGTAACTGAGTTTCAGACTACACACTGCAACAAGTCTTTCAGGATCTTCTACTTCCCAATTTTAGCACATCATACAAGAATAATACCCAAACTTACCTGAAGGACCATCAGAGATCCTTGATAAAATAGGTAGAATATAATAAAGCATGTCTACTGTACACTGAAATTTAGGACTGTCTTGAGGAGAAATACTTGTGCAACTGAGCTGGAAGGTAACCAGGTTGATTTTTTTCAAGGGACACTTTGACGGGGAAGACAAACTACAGTCATTCAGACTTGGATAATTAACAGACATTTTCCTGAAAATGAACGATGTGAATCCGCCACTTTAAGGAAAACAACTGGCAGTATTTGTTGCCAATGATAAAGTCTGAGCTTTCTGATAAAAATTGGAATTTTAGAGACCTTGTATTTATTAGCTTGTCTTGGCATGTTCCCAACACTTAAAAATGTTTGTGATAAAATGGCTGCTGATGTTAATAAATCTTAAACAACCAAAAATATGAAGTTTGATATGAGAAAACAAAATATGTCAACATTTAGAAGACTGGCAGAACTCAGTGAACCAAATATTTTCCAAATAATCAAACATGATATTACAAAATCATGCAAGGGCAAAAGATACAAATTGCAAGACAGGCCAATGGGTTTTCAAGTAAACTGAGTTTCAGATTCCACATGACAACGAATAATCTTTGAGGATCTACTACTTCTCACTTTTAGCACAGCATACAAGAATAATATCCAAAATTATCTGAAAAGGCTATTAAGAGTAACTCTTCCTCTTTTTCTAACTATATACCTGTATGAGGTTAGTCTTTCTTCATATAGTTAATGAAAGCCACATACCAGGAAAGATTGGCTGCAGAAGCAGGTATAGGAATACAACTATTAGTAAATCAGATGTCACACTAAGACACCTGTTTAGTTTGTTACTACAAATATAATATACCCCCCAAAAAAAGGTTTTTTTTAATTTAAGAGAATGTAGCTCAATAAAATATGCTAGGATTTTTCACGAGGCTGAACTCATAATAATAAAATTTAATATCACAAAAGCAGGAGTTAATCAGGGGTGCACAAGGAAGATACAGGGAGGTTCTGAAACAGTGTTATTAATATTTTCCTCAGGTAAGGTGGACTAAATTGGAACAAATACTCAAAGATATTCCTAACTTTTACCCTCAGTAAGAAATGGAAAGTTACAGCAATAGTTAGAGAAGCCACAAGAATTTAAATTCAATTATATATCTCACTTTAAATTCCAAACCACTGGTTAATTACATAAAAGTGTATGAGAATGAATAGAAATCCAAAATCTCTGTAAATTTTCATTAAAATTAATAATAATAAAAATTTTTAAAAAATAAAGTTAAAAAAAGGTATGAAAGATAAGAACTATATAATTAAATACCAAAAGCCAATACTTAAAATCAAGGAGATGCTTTTCACAGGTCACACAAGGCCAACACAGGTAGCATGCACTATAAATAAGTACTTTGATAATCTGTGGATTAAGAGCCACTAAACCATAAGATAAATATAGCTGGCACCAGAATGAATATAACGCTTCTGGAAGGAAAGCATCTAAAGCCATTCAGGACAAGGGAGTGGCTTTTCTATTTTAAAAGATCTTTGGGGAAAAGGGTACCAGTGAGCCCTCCTTAGTAACTATGTTTCTTAGGCAAAATGTTACAGCAAAAGAATCCAGCACACTTTAAAATGACCTGTTTGCACAGTCATTGGTTGCTTGGCACATCGTACTGGTCAAGAGAAGAGCCCTTACCTAGGATAAATGTTCCTGAAGACATGACCCAAGAGCTGCACCCGAGCCAAGTAGCCAAGGAGTGGATACACAGTCACCATTTGGAAGAGCAGGAATATCCTTGCAATGAAGGACAGGATGTCACTGCTAGGGAAGTTGTCTAAAAAATTCTAATCCAAGAAAAAGAATGAGATAATGTTAGAAATAATATTCAGGTCATACGATTTTATAAAGTGAAATGTCTTTTGCTTACTTCCAACACAGGAGTTAGTTGCTCAATGGACTGGTGCTGGTCCACAAACTCCTTGTTAACTAGTCAACAGTGTTCTCAGCATTCAGAAACGTATGAAAAATTGACACTGCCAACTTTTTATTCTATTTTATAAAAGTATCAGTCTGAAATGGACTGAACAAAGAATCCCTCACATTTTTCATAACAGTCTGAGAAGTAGAGCTGTGAAAAGGCTCAGCACAATACACAAATTTGTTTCAGTATAGTTAAGTGGCTAATTCAATTGCACACTATTTCATTCTCATAAGCTCTCTTGTTCTTTTCTTCTCAGAAGCATGAGAGCCTTTCCAAAATAACTATTACAGAATAAGGTGAGAGTGTATCTATCACCTATGCAGTGTTGTCATTATTTACAGTCCATTAATAAACAGAGATTTATTGTTATTCCCTCTTAGGATCAGTTTCTTCATTTTACTTTGGATTCCAAAAGAAGTTAATCACTCAATTTTCAGTTCTGCATTTTATCTTTTCAAACACAAATACCACAGTTATTCCTATTCCTGAGGGAGTGGGATTTATATGGAGTTGTTCACACCAGAGAAATTGCCAGCAAACATGTGGCTGCCAAAGAACTTCTGGAATGACAGAAATCAAGAGTAAAGGAACATTTCAAGCCAATGTAAGTGCAGCATTACAAATCTATTTTTCTTAGAGACATGTGAACATTATTGACCCTATTATGTGGAAATAATCTTTATTTGTAATAAATCACAAAATGTATTCCACTAAACTCCACTGCTGGATAAATTCCATGATTAGAAAGAATGTCATCTGCAAAGTGTTATTTACAGAAGATTATATATAAAGTCTTACCTGTTCAATGCAATCTTTGGATAATGGTGGTGAGGGAAATGAAGCAAAAACTAGGACTCCAATATAAAGATAAGTCAATGTCACCAGCAAATATGCAATGGATAGGTCCCTGACCTAGAAACAAAGAATGCTGTTGTTGTAATTATGTACTGCTGAGTTGGAACCAACTCATAGCTGACCCTCTAGGAGGTTTTCAGAGGCAGTAAATCACAAAGGAGGAGAATGACCACCTTTCTCCCTCAGGGCAGCTGGTGGACTCAAATCATGTACATTTGGGTTGACAGTACAATTCCTTACAACTAAGCTGCCAGACTACTTCCTGTAAAGAGAGAACAATACTCCCATAATACTGAATAAATTAAGTAAATTCACCTGAGTAGGCTAAGAAGACTTTTAAAATAGAATACTTATCTTTTTTTTGTTGTTGTTTATGTGGGTATGTTAGCTGTCAAATGCATTGAAAATGGTCAAAACAAAATCCATTTACTTACAAGTATTCAACCAAACTTTTTTTTTCTAGACTGGAGTAAGTATACTAAACTACCTGTCAATGGAGTAAGTATACTAAACTACCTGTCAACTAATACCAAAGGTGGTTTAACACAACTACTATAAAAGGTAATGTACTTACCAAACTATATAATATCTAGCCAAAATAACAAAACTACAGTATAACAAGAAAGCAAGCACAAGCTACCTTCCATATGACCTAGAAAAGGTTTAAAAAAATGTTCTCCAAGTGCTAAATCATCAAAGCATGGTTAAACCATGTTCAAACACACATAATAAGGAAGGAAAGCTAGTTAAAGCGTAGACAGTAAGTAGGTACTAAAGATAAGTCTAATAAATCCAAACAGTAAACAAAAGGAAATCAAGAGGCAGCTGTTCAAACAGCTGCATGATGTTATTAATGGAATCGGTAAACAAACACAAAATATTAAATAAAGCTATGGCTTTATTCCATTGCTGCTCCCTCCCTTCCAATCACTCACCCTCATGCTCAAGACACTTAATCCAGCCAGCTGTCAGATTCAAAGAGACCAGACCAGAGCTGACAGATCTGGTCCCCATCACCACTAAAGTTACAGGCAAACAGCTCAGCACGACGAAATTATGGCAATGAGCCCACTCATTTTTGTTTTAAACACAAGTTACTTTGAAAGTGGAGAAAACAGACGAGGAAAAAAAATTACATACATTTTTTACTTCAATGTTCTGTTGGACAACATGATAAAAAACCCAGACATTTGGTTTTATGAAATCGATCATAAGCAACAGTTGTTTGTTATGTACCACAGGGTCCAAAGTGACCCATAGCTGACCCTCGGAGGGTTTTCAGAGGCAGTTAATCGCACGGGGAGGAGACTGCCCATTCTTTTCCTCCGGCAAAGCAGCGGGTGGCCTCAAATCCCATGCCTTTGGGATTGCAGTGCTGCTTCTTGCCACTAGGCCATCAGAGTTCCCTAAAGCAATAGTAAACAGCAATAAAGTTGCATGTTGAGCTATTCAATAATAAAGCAAGTTCTAAGGAATCATAAGGCCAGGTCTAAGTTGATAATCAGGCTTGAAGATAAACCAGGGGTTACATACCCCAAGTTAGGTGGGGAAGAGGCCTGTGGAGCTAAAGGAACCTACACTACGCAGATGGCTTCCAGTTCTCTCAAAGAATTCTTTAGTTGTATACCAATGAAGGAATTTTTCCTTTTACTTTTCAAAGAGAAAAGCAAACTGGGGAGAGGGGGGGAGGGAGAAAAAAGAAACAATGAATGAATGAAAATCCAAAATCTCTGTAAATGTTCATTATAATTAATAAAATAAAATTTTAAAAAAAGAAGCCTTTAGAACTGGAGGGAGCAGAGGCTGATCACATCTCCAAAGATCTCAAGGGCTCTTTAATTTATGAAGCTCTATGGCCCAATATAACTTGAGTACATTCACTATCATGTGATCTTGGGAGAGACTTGTAGAAATGAACCAGACAATGTCTGTTTTCCTCTCTGAGAGTAGTGATCTCCCATCCTTTACAGTTATTCTGTCCTCACACAATTAAAACCACTCAAGAGCAGAGGTTAAGTACCACTAAGGGGATCCAAGTCACAGCTGACCCTTCAGTCGGCTTCCAGAGGCTGTAAATCGCACAGGAGGACAATGGCCATCTTTCTGTGGTGGAGCAACTGGTGGATTCAAACTGTGCTCCTCTGGGTTAGCAGAGCAAATCCTTACCATGAAGCCACTAGAGTCCCCTCTCATCATAATGCCCGAAAGTTATTCTGTCCTCAACTTAATCAGTGCTACCCAAGAGCAAAAGCAGCACTGGAAAAAAGCAGAGGTAGTTTTGGAAGGTGGAAAAATCTGTTGTGAAAGAAAGTTATGTGGAAAGAAAGATGGCCACCACTTTGTCCATAGCTTGTAACCTGCATACAACCTGATTATGATGCTTCATTCCGACTTCCTATAAAATGTGCACTTTACAAGAGGAGAATCTGGTGTAAATTCAAGAGCTAACTTTTCCTGCATGATGGGAGTCCCAGAGTGAAGCATATAGTTAACATGCTTGGCTGCTAAGTCTGTGGTTTAAGTCCATTCAGAGGTACGTGGGAGGAATAATTAGTCACAGTCCCACTCTGTCATTTGGAACTTGTAACAGGCCTATCTTCTGAGGTGCCTCTCAGAGGGCTCAAACCTTTAATCTTCCAGCTAGCACTTAACTATATGCACGAGCCAGGGCCTGACTGCGTGTCATAGTTAATAAGTAACAAAAATGAAAGTTATCAAAGATAGGTGACAAGTCACAGATAACAAGTGGTGCACCATCCCCCTGACACACACGGGGCTGCCGTGAGTCACGGTCACCATGCAGCAACTGGTTTCCCCATGAGATCGTTTCCTGTTCCACTTCCCTGTTCCCACAGCACTGCCTACCTACCTTAAATATAGCAAGTACCACACAGTCACACCATAATGCAACCATAATTCATTAACAGAAAAGTGATCTATGCTCATGGTATGAACACGCTCCAGCAGAAAGACTATATCCATTGACACCCAAAAGCAGCCAAAGTTAATCACTCTCAGATCAAGTTGTTGGTATTTTGATTTCTCTTTGGGCCTTTTTCATCTTCATATCATCAATACCCAGGGCAATGCCTGACATAAAGTGTGAGTAAAGAAACTCAGGAAATACAGATTAAAAGAAAAAACCAACCATCACAGTGACTATTTTCATTTAAGTACTTAATGATGTGATAGGCTCTGTGCTAAGCACGCCATATATATTATCTACTTTAATCCTCAAACCAACCATTTTCTTCATTTTGTGGGCAAATTAAAACTAAGTGTAGTGAGGTCACAAAACTTATCTGTGGCTACAAAGTGAGTAGCCAGTGAAGCCATATGGGACTTGGGTTTGAAATTGCATGCATGCTCTTTAGAGATCCCAAGGGAGAGCTGACCAGTGTCCAGGACATCTGTGTCCTAGCTGCTCCTGTCAGTTGTTGTCAATTGTGACTCATGGAGACTCCACAGGGTTTTAAAGACAGTGTGACCTTTTGCAATCATAACATCAGGCCTCCTGAGGTGCCTCTGGACGGGTTTAAACCTCCAACCTTCTGGCTAGTCTTGAGCTCTTCACTGTCTACACCACCCAGGGACTGAGAGCACGTCACGGTTAATAAATAACAATAATGACAGTTATCAAGGCCAAATAAGTTACAAATAACAAAAACACTACAGAGCACCTATACAGATGCAAGAGAAACATTATCATCCGAAAAGTTTTCTACTTCCTACAACCTTCAATGTGCTTTCCATAGAACTGGGTCAGTAGCTGAAAGACACTCTAATGAACAAAAATATGCTTTTCCTATAAAACAGCAAGATTCAGCATGAACTGGGAAATTCACTACTTATGAACAGCATTCACACATGTGGGCTCAGCTATTATCTGGCTCAAATCTAAGCCACTACTGTTATCAGGCCTCCTAAAAGTCCATTTAATGGAAAAGGGTGGAGGAGGGGAAAGCCATTGTTTAGAAAACTGACACTCAAAGCAAAAATTTCTTTTTTAAAAATCCCAAGTGACAATATGAGCTGGTAATATGATGAGAAATATTTATTAATAACATAACCTACTCTATTTCATGAAGAAGCAATGCGGTAGGTATAGGGCATGAATAACAAGTAGGATGCCAACTCAAAGTGAGAACTCTGCTTACTATGTGGCCAAAAGTGGGTCTGGGAACATACTCTGTTTGTGAAAACATGGTTTATTATTTGTTTCACCAATCATTCATGATGAAAATACTATTCAGTGATGCATTTACAACTAATAATGACAGAAACCGACCACACAGACATACCCAAACATTTACATAAAAACTTCTGCTGAAGTAGTCAAGTAACTAACAGATTGCTTGTGCAGAAGAAGCAAAAAGTAAATAATAGATTAAGATGTAAGGAGTCCCTAATCCTTTTTAAACTGAGGATAAGAAGACTAAATAAAAAGATAAAACTAAACAAGCAAGCAAAAAGGCACTATGCATACATAAGTTCTGATCCAAACATGAGAAAATACAAAGGATGGTCATCATAACCCAGGATAGTTACAACATAAACATATGCTGAGGATGAGAAAGGATTCAGATTACACTTAACTTCATTTTTTTCGTTTTGGGGTGTATGTCTTAATAAGAAATAGAAATCACATCATATTTAATAATACATTTTAAAAAGTATCACAGCACATTTAGTTACATATATTAAAAAATTAGATTAAATGAAGTCAAATTTGAAATTTCAGAAACATTTTATCTATTCATTGTTGTTGGGTGCCCGTTTGACTCATAGTGACCTCAGGTGACAGAACAGCCCCCTAGGATTTGCTAGGCTGTATCTATATTTGGAAGCAGGAGTGGCATCCACTTCCTAAACAACATGCCTCTCTAGAAACTCTATGAAATTTGATAAATGATGATAGTTAAAGAAAGGCTTCAGGCCTTTTGTTCATAGGTCACTATGAGTCGTGCTTGACTCGGTGGCAATCAACAACAACAACAATCTGTTTGGGAGCTCAATTAGGTGCTCTGGGATTCCCTTCTTCTCAGTGTTAGCCATAA